CAGATTTCAGTTGCAGTTCCTCATAAGTAAGAATGCAGTTGATCCTTTTTCGGACAGAATCTTGCAACTGGATCTTTTAGATCCAATCATTTCTTTAATAAAGGTTACAGCAACCAATGGTTCCATGCTGTTTGACTTATACGAAATCGAATTCGTGATTTTTAATCCTCTGTGCCTTGCTGCTTGCATGTAAATAACTTGACTTCATCAAGCATGCCTGGATCTTACTCTATATGAGGAACTACCTGCTTTCAATGCTTCCAAAATCTTAAATGTCTTTTATTACAGTACCAAAGTAATCTACTTTAGTTTAATGAGTCATAAGCAAGAATAGGCACTCGAACTGCCTAGTTCCTTTACATCCACAAAAACAATCCACAGGTACGAAAGGAATCGGTCAGTTCCGCAAAAAATGTTTGACTTCAAGAGGTGATTCCTTGATGAAAAAGCAACAAAAAAAATTTTTGTGGATGTAAAGGAACTAGGCAGTTCGAGTGCCTATTCTTGCTTATGACTCATTAAACTAAAGTAGATTACTTTGGTACTGTAATAAAAGACATTTAAGATTTTGGAAGCATTGAAAGCAGGTAGTTCCTCGTATGCAGTAAGATCCAGGCATGCTTGATGAAGTCAAGTTATTTACATGCAAGCAGCAAGGCACAGAGGATTAAAAATCACGAATTCGATTTCGTATAAGTCAAACAGCATGGAACCATTGGTTGCTGTAACCTTTATTAAAGAAATGATTGGATCTAAAAGATCCAGTTGCAAGATTCTGTCCGAAAAAGGATCAACTGCATTCTTACTTATGAGGAACTGCAACTGAAATCTGTTGATTTGAAAAATAATTTGAGAAATTGCATACAAAAATTTTGTATGGAGGGATTTTAAAATCCCAAAAAAAATCTTTCATACAAAAGATTTAAATCAAAATCCCAAAAAAAACTCCCTTTGAAAAATGATTTAAATCAAAATCCCAAAAAAAATCCCTTTGCAAAAATGATTTAAATCAAAATCGAGAAAAAAATCACTTGGGTAAAATGATTTAAATCAAAATCCCTTTTTAAAATCATTGCAAAAAGATTTTGATTTTGATTTTTGATTTAAATCACCCACCCTGGCTAAGAGAGTGTAGATGGATGGATTAGTTAATTAAATTAAATGTTTAATTTACTTTACTTCCTTAAATTATTACATTTTGTAAAGTTCAAATTTCAATATGTTCAAAAAAAAAATTTTAAATGTTCAAAACAAACCTTTAAGATTATTGGAAATTAAAATTAAAGTTCAAAACTTTACGAAAAGTTCAAAATTTTCCGTTTAAGTTCAAAACAGTTGAAAGAGGATCAAAAAATTTCATTGATTTTTGAATTTCTTGTTATGAGTTCAAAATTTTCCGTTAAAATTCAAATTTTCTTCACAAAGTTCAAAAATTATGAATTTTCAAATAGTTAAAAGTGAAGTTGAGGTTCAAAGATGTTTTTACGAGCTAAACATAACTCACAAGATCTAGAAACATCCAAACATGAATTCAATCAATTTTAACAAAACAAGTTCAAAATTTTCCGTTTAAATTCAAAACAGTTGAAAGAGGTTCAAAAAATTTCATTGATTTTTGAATTTCTTGTTATGAGTTCAAAATTTTCCGTTAAAATTCAAACTTTCTTTCCAGAGTTCAAAAATTAGGAATTTTCAAATAGTTAAAAGTGAAGTTAAGGTTCAAAGATGTTTTTACGAGCTAAACATAACTCACAAGATCTAGAAACATCCAAACATGAATTCAATCAATTTTAACAAAACAGATTAACAAGTACTTTCTGTAACAAGGAATTAATTTCAACATCTACAAGTATTATCTTCAAATATTAAGCCTTCAATTGAGCTCCATCTAACCCAAGATTGATGAATATCGTCCGAATTTATAAGCTCCAAAATATATTCAATTTTCATCAAGAGGATTACGGAAAGCTTCTATTTACAACCATCCCGAATGTATTGAGTAAAATGTCAGATAAAAATACACTCGATGAAGCTGTTCGAACTTAGTGTTGAGATCAAAAATCATCAAAGTCCTCCCATGACAGTTTCTATGACAAAAATCCTGTTAAATGATATAAATTTTCTCGTTATTTGTTGTTATCTAATGCACGACAGCCTACACTCGATATTTGTCAATCACTGTTCCTATCCATGAAAGTAATACTCTTGCCACATTTGATATAAATTGTCGAGAGATGCTTTCGCGTTATGAGCAAGAACTTTATCCATTATCCATCGATGCCTTTTAACCTTTCAAAATTTCCACAATGATGAAACTCAGCTACGTTTCTGAAAATTTATCATTAAGTTTTGGATAAGCTCGCACTTGCCTTTTATTTATAGAAAATTCTATTTACAGTAAACTGAACATTGGGGTAGAAAATTTCTAATTCTGACCCATTTCCTTCATGCTTCTAATTAGTTTAATTGCAAAATTTTCCAATGCAGAGAGTAATCGGATTGTAATTGATGCTTAGAGCACATTTTGAGTTGAGAATCTTCTCGTGTGGGTTTGTGATAAATTTAACTCGAACAGTTGTTGACATCCTTTGATGTAAAGTTTATTACTATCATTTTTGAATTGCTCTATCAACATTGCAAAAGGGATATTGGTTTATTTTGAAAGGAACTTATGCAAATACTTAAAGTTTTGCCATTCAAATGATTTTGCTTTCGGGTTTTTGTTTGTGTTCTATTGAAAAATCAATATTATGAAGAGATTTGTAGCTGGAGGATAGGAATTGTATGTTTAAATGCTGTGGAACTTACTTAAATCATAGTTTAACTGATAAATTTTAATGATTTGCTCCGATTTGCTTTGAAATGTTTTATTAAAACTTTATGAAATGTAAACAAATAGTTTTAATGAATTTTGAATATTTAATGACAGTTTGGTAGGGAATCTGTTTCAAATGTAATAAAATACCGTTAAACTCTTCATCATCTACCTAAGCAAAACAAGATAAACATTTCTTGATTCCAAGAAAACCATAAAAACTTGATAAAAACAAATTTAATGTGTTCCAAGAAGCATCTTCAAAATTTAATAATCACGAATAAGCTTTATTCCGAAAAGAACATCTCAGACTTTCTAAATAACCCTCTTGTTAAGAACCTCTCATCATTTGCATATGGGCAAATCCACGAAAGAATTTTTCTCCAAAAAAACACATCTTTTGCAAATTTCTCAAAAACGGCTTGATTTACTTTATGCTTTGAAACTCAATATGATAGAAAAACTTAATTTTAATATTTTTTTCGATAATTCAGCTTTTTATGTGCTTTAATTAATGAATTATTTCAATTTGGAGAGCGTCTGATTGTTAACTCTACGAAAATTGAATTTTACACTTTTTCCATTTTCTGCTTAAATATGCATTTTACCGTCGAGAAAAGATATACATTAGATTTTCGCTCGTCTTAGCTTTAACTATGTGTTCTTTCTATCTCAATAAAATGCTTAATTAAAGAGATATTTACAAAATTAGCGTCAGTTTGTTAATTTTTCGACTCATTATTGCAAAACACAAATGTATCCACAACGGTTTGAAAGAGAAAAATTCGTTAAAATTTGTCTCCAAACAAAATAAATTTTATTTTTTAAGCCTTAAATTAGATCATTAGCCACCATAGATCTAAAATATGTAAATTGGCACTGTTTTTGATAGGTAAAATAATTCAGGAAGTAAATTAAACTTAATTATTTTTTGGTTTGAACGGTTTTTTGAATTTATCAAGTTGAGAAGAATTCTTAGCCGATTTTCGCAGTACCGTTTATTCATGGATTTGCCCATATTAAGAAGTCAACATCCAAGCTCCAAAATTAATGAAATTACAAAACAAATTCATGTGCGTGGAAAATCTAAACCATTCTTTATTTAGATATTCGTGGGTGTGTTTGCTGAAGCAAGTGTGTTGTAGCTTACTCCATTGAACAGGTGATAAGCCTATCATACAGAACACCTTGTTCTTTGTGTAAAAGATCTGAAAGCACTTCTCAAAAAAAGTGTGTTTACTCTAAGTCCTTACTATAACATTGAATGTTGATTCCATCATGTTTATTTACTTTTTAAACCCAAAAATCATTGAAACGAAGGGTTGTTACTTTTTATCATTTCTGGAAGGTCTAAATTACACAATTTCTCGTTAGAAGCTGTCTGTTTGAAGAAAATGGGTCAGGTTAATTAAACCATTGAAGATGTGCTCTTGACTACGAGATTTTGCCGGGCAAAAAGAACCTCAGTTCTCACCAGTTTTAAAGCACATCTCTGAATATCTATAACAACAAGCTATATAGAGCATATCAGAAGAACCTTGCATAACCAGGAAGTTCCACACGATCTCAAACATAATCAAATAAACGTAGATGATTAATTTAAAAAGACCACACACGAGAGAAATCCTTCCATTACACAAAACATCACAGTGCAAAAAGCATCCACACGATACAGATCTCATCGTTTCTTTTATTCCATCCATTACAGTCATTTTCCGTAGTGCAAAAAAATAATCATACATGTGTGTATTATTTTCCCCGGAATTCTCAACAAAATACAAATGATAACATGCCAAAAAAAGTATAAATTTTCATACAGTACAGCATAACAAAAAAATGAAAGAAAGTTTATGCAAACAACCATAAAATGTGCGCACATTTTTTATTTATTAAATGTCTCTCACTGGCTCTGCTTTTTTTGCGCGCTGTCATAAATTTCAATTTCAATGAATGAGTTGAGTCTTTTTTTTAAAAAAAATTATAGTAGTGAAATGCATTCATTTGCATGCATTGATGCATTGAAATATGGAAATGCTCTTCATTGAACTTTATTTCATTGAAAGCTATTATTAAACGAGAAGCTACGTAACCACAAAGATATTGCATAGTCATTAAAAATAAAAATAAAAATTTTATATTTTTTTAATTTTAATTTAATTTTTTCGACATTATATCCACCCAACAGATAATTGACGATCATTATCATATGGAGCATCGATCAATAGCGAAACGATCAATATCACCATCACATCATCACCAAAGACGCCTCAATGAAGACAATAGAGTGGTGTGGTCGAAACAGCAAACGGCAAAGTCGAGACAAAAGCGCGACTTTACACGACTGAAACCAAAATCAGTTTCGAAACTCCTTAATGATCCAAAATGGTCTAGCATGTGGTATTTAAATGTGAGTATTATTGACATTTTAAAATTATCCGAACATTTTTTTTTTCACTCTCATGTTCTGATGAGACTTCATGTAAATTGTACAGATGTTGCATACAATTGTTTTCACTTGGCAATGCCATCACTACAAAATATCGTTCTCAATTAAATTGCTTCCATTAATTCCCGTGCCACAAGTGCCATTTGAGAACTGTAAAATAATAAAATTACTCTATTTTAAAACATGCATAAAAATATTGCAAATGAAAATGTTTTTTTTTCGCGCTGCGATGCTTTGCTAGAGAACAAAAAAAAAATTCGTGCAGTTTTTGCAATAATTAGATGGCTTGCTGTGGGATTCGCTGGTTTTGTTTCATCATTTTAAATTAAAGTGCAGAATATTTTAAGTTCAAGTCTTGGCATTTAGTTGATTTAGATAATTGAAGATTTTATCGAGTTCGTTTATGGATTTAAGGTTATTTTTGAGAAATACTTTTTGCAGCGGGTGCATCATTGACTATGGAATCTATTTTAAATGTATTAAATTTGAAAAACCAAAATGGCGTCAGAATATAGTTTGAAAAAATGTTTTTGTTCATAATTTGTGATTAAAGCATGTTATAACTCTAAACACTTCTGAATTTAACTCTTGCCACTTTTTTAATTAAAATAAATCAAGAAAAAAATATCGAAATAGACAAATTTTAAGAAAATTTTAAGAAAAACTTTTCGAGGTGAGAAAATTTTTGACTTAAATTGTCTTTTCAAAATTAAAATTGAAAACTTCGTTAAAATACTTGTATTATTATGATGTTATTCACAACTAACAACAGCCATCTATATTTCTAGAAAAATAATAAAAGATTATTTTCACGATGAGCAGCAATGTGCACTTTGTAGCAAATAGCATGCACTATTTTGTGGCATCAAATGAATTTATTACACTGCAAAATCAAATAATGAAATGGAGTTCAATTTCCCATTCGCATTCATGCAAATGTGCATGCAATCACATTATGTTAATAATTCATACATATATTTTCTTCGGTCAACAACTAAATTGTTGCTACAGAAACGACTATTGACAGATTTCCAAAACATACATACTCATATTGATTTCGGGTGTAGTAAATTCGATGAACAGAGGAATTGAAATTGAAATTCTATCAAAATCTCGACACATGTGAACATACGTGTATGTACACACAAAATACCCTTAATATGTTGTCTTTTCCACAATAGACACGTTCAGTAGAATTTATTGTTATCGAAATTCAATTAAATTGAAATTGATGTAACTTACTTCCTTCTGCAGTTGTCATATACGCTTGCCACATGCCAAACCACACCAAAAGTTTGCTTTTTTCAATTTTCTTCTACATTATCGTATTTAATCAAGAAAATGGCAATTGAAGGTATATGTGCTGATTCTATGAAAACTTAATCGAAATTCTAGTTGACAGTAAAATCGACAAAAAAGGTCATATTCGATAGTGTTCGGAATTATGGTGGATTTTACCCTCCAATGATCATTACTTACCTCGTAATTTCTCAATTATCATGCTTTTAAGCTTTGGAAATTGAAAACTTAAATGGAAATTCGTGATTCTAAAAGTATTTGATCTTTTCATTGAAGTTAGAAATGTGGGATTGGTAAATTAGTTTAGATGAAATGAGATTGGATGTTTTGAGAATATTTAGATTTTCGTAAATGAATTTCAACAGCCACAATTTAATCTAATCCAAAGTCAATAATGCAAAATAAATTTTCTCACTTCAAAAAGTTATTTTCATTATTGTAGGTTTTAAAGGACGTTCTCATTGATCTTTTCCGTGTTAATTCATTAAAAAAAGTGGCAGTGTATGAATCCATATATTACTGTTCGCAGAAACAGTTCAATCCAAAAATAATATCAATATTATTGTTTGTTCTGAAAATTTCTTTGATGTCTGTTTTCAATGAAATTGAAACACATAATTATTTTCGACCAAGAACTTTCTGTGAAATTGTAACCAACATTTTCAATTTTAAGCCTTTGACAAGCTTTCATTTATAGGAAATGTCCTGGAATTATGGCTGTATGTACCATATTAATTTTTGTGCAATTTTTCTGACTGTAGAGCTGTGAAATGCATTGCATCGCATATTAATTAGTACACACATGCCATAAACCTCATCACAGCATATCAATCATAATTCCAGAAAAAAACCTATTTGTAGTTTGCAGCTATTTTGCAGAACACAAAAAAACTGTTTGCTTGATATTAAGTGAGTAGCAGAAATTAAGTGAAATCACACAATTCTAAAAAATATATATGAATAGAACAATGAAAGAACGGAAAGAGAATTTGTCATGGCTTGAAGATGTCTGTTGTAAATTATAAAAATTATATGCAAAAGCACGTCTATATAATCATTTAATTTTCATGCTCGATAGAGTGTCGCAGATAAAAAATTTTTTATACATACATAAGAAAGAATGAATTAGCAAATATTTACATGAGAAGCAATCAGAAGCAATAAGAAAATGTGATGGGAGAGAAATCTCATTGATTCTATCTTTTAAATCGTTCTATCTATATTTACTCAAAATATATAGCGCGGAGATGGCTTAGACATGAATGTTGTACCAGCATGGCGTGAAGGAATCACTGGAAAAGGTGTTGTTGTAACGATATTGGATGATGGATTGGAGACGGATCATCCTGATTTGGAGCGAAATTATGTAAGTAATTCTTCTCTATTCAATCACATCCCTCATTTTAAATTCTCTTGCTTTAACCATTGATGAGAATAAACAAATAAGGAAAACAGAAGGAAAGTTTTTTCTTCTTCTTCATCTCGTCTATTAAATAATATACCACATTTATTAAAGGATGATGGGGAAAAGTTTTCAATCTGAATGAAGAAATGAAGAATATATTCCAATAATTTGAAGATGCTCTGGATTAGCAATAAGCTTTTGGTTGAAATTCAGAAAAAATGTGTTTTAGCGTCAAAACCTTTGTTAACATTCAGTAGCTTGCCCCTTGTTTACATTCTTCAGGAGGAATCAACCAGGATGCTGTTTTTGTTTTAACAAAGTAATGTTCAATAAAGATGGTAGTCCAATAAACACAAACAACCTATCAAATCACCAATCACAGCCCATCAAAGTCTGTGATGATAATAAAGAACATTCAAAATTGCCTTTACCAATTTCACGACCACAGAATTAGTTCATAAGACCACAAAACATCAAACTAAACAATTCTTCTATTCACTTCCAAAAAAATAAGGACTAAAACCCATCCAATTTCGAAAAAAAGAGATTTTATGATCCCCAGCTACAATAAATAACAATTAAAAGCACTCATCCATACAATCTGAGAGATAAAACCTTTCAGTCTAGAGCACAGAAGAAAAATATACACAAGAAACTTTCCTTCCCTTTCCTTTTGCCTTTTCTCTTTGCTTAGTGTGTTGATTAGGTTTCTCTTTATTTTCTTTTGATGATGAGCAGCAAGAAAAAAATGAAACTTTTCATCCTTGTGTATCAAGCTATTGGAAAGAGCGATGAAATTTATTTTTTTAAAAAATTATGTTTAAAAAGTTTCTCTTCCCTTCATCATCTCCAGTGAAACATCTTTCCTAGCAAAAAAAATCTATTTTTCAAAAGAGGAAGGACTGAGTGACTGAATTTGAGGGGATCCATACACATTTAATTTCCATAGTAAAAAAATACTCTAGTCGTTTTGTATGTGTGTGCAAACATAAAAAATAAGAAATTTTTGCGCTAAGTATGGTGTGAGAAATGAAGGAGATGCTCTCAAGCATTATAAATTGTCTTTTGAATAAGAATGGAATTTTTTAGGTGAATTCCTTTTGGATAGAGTGTAATGTGGTTCTTTTGTACATTGTCTTCTTTGTCTAGGGTTGAGTTACTGAAGATAAATTGTGTTTAAAGACGAAGAGCTCTGCAAAGGATCTTGATTTCAGATGATTTCAATAACATCTTAGTTTCAATCCCCTTTTTTCTTAGTCGTAGACCTTTTATTCAACTTAGTTGCATATCCTTCAAATTTATTGTTTTATTTTTATGCTTAGCTTTAGACCCTTTATAATTTACATTAAAATCTCATTTAATCTTAGTTTCAAACCCTTTTACAACTTAGTTTGAGACCCCTTTGCAACTTATTTTCAGACCCCTTATTTTCTTAATTCGTCCATAAGACCAATAAGATCCCCGAAAATGCGTCACTTTCCCCAACAAATCTATCAGTCATATTCATCTCCTTGAATTTCTATCGCATCTCAAACTTCACACCAGAAAAAAAAGTTGTAAGGCATTCACATAAAACACAAAGTCCTTGAGATGGATATAAAAACTCAGTGGATTAAAAGTTTCATTTACATTGCTGCAGTCGTCGTGAATAGAGCATAGAGATACGAGTTAGCTAATAATTTTCTTTTTGTGCTCCATAAAACTAATCAATTATGTTATACTTGAGTAAGCTAAAGTAATTCATTCTCATCTCGTTTAGGACCCGGAGGCAAGTTGGGATGTAAATAGTCATGATGCTGATCCAATGCCCCACTATGATATGACTGATTCAAATCGTCACGGGACACGATGTGCTGGTGAAGTTGCAGCGACTGCTAATAATTCACTTTGTGCCGTTGGAATTGCCTATAGTGCAAGAGTCGGTGGTGTTCGTATGCTTGATGGAGATGTGACAGATTCAGTTGAGGCGATGTCATTGGGATTAAATCCTCAACACATTGATATATATAGCGCATCATGGGGTCCTGATGATGATGGAAAGACAGTTGATGGACCGGGTGAAATGGCAACGAAAGCATTTATTGACGGCGTGACAAAAGGTCGAGCTGGAAAAGGTAGTATTTTTGTGTGGGCATCAGGAAATGGTGGTCGAGAACAAGATAACTGCAACTGTGATGGATATACAAATTCAATATGGACATTGTCAATTTCAAGTGCTACAGAATACGGTGACATTCCATGGTATTCCGAAAAATGTAGTTCAACGCTCGCCACAACATATAGTAGTGGTCAACAAAATGAGAAGCAAGTCGTGACGACAGATTTACATCATATGTGTACATCATCACACACTGGAACGTCAGCATCAGCGCCATTGGCTGCTGGCATCGTTGCATTAGCATTAGAAGCAAATCCTAATTTGACATGGCGTGATATGCAGCATATAGGTAAGTTCTGCAACATGTGCTAAAGGAGGAAATGACAAATGAACTTATCACAAATTACCTTTCACACATGATTTAATTTATTGCCATCGTACACAAGAATTTCAATTTTTTTTCTTCGATCTTTCGCCCCAATCATAACAGTTGTTCGTACCGCCAATCCAGCAAATTTAGGCAAGTCATCAAATGAATGGACAGTAAATGGAGTGGGACGAAAAGTTTCCCATTCCTTTGGATATGGATTGATGGATGCGGCAGCAATGGTTCGTTTAGCACGTGTTTGGGAAACTGTACCAGAGCAGCAGCGTTGTGAAATTCACAGCCCACATTTGGACAAGTAAGTTGAATGAAATTAATAAATTTATGAAGATGAATGGAAGATATTTTGTGTTAATTAATTAATTATATGTTCATTGTGCATAAATCATATGCTCACCAACTCATAAACTTTTTTTTTATTTCTATTTCCCAACCAACAGGCCAATTCCACCGAAAAGAAATGTAACATTTACATTAAAAGTAGATCATTGTAAAGGCGTCAATTTTTTGGAGCATATACAGGCGAGAATAACATTAACAACCCAACGTCGTGGTGATATTGTGATATATTTAACATCGCCATCTGGCACACGAACGTGCTTATTGACGGAGAGGTGAGTTTTCAGATAAAAATTTACTACTGCGGTCATTAATCATTCGGTATTGTTTGAAAAAAGAATCATTCTGATTGGCAAAATTTAGGGAAAAATGAGATTTTGTTGTTGTATTGTTGGATGGAACAATGCATGGATTTCCATGGATATGGAAAGTCATCCAGAATTATGAAATATTATCTTTCCTTGAATCTAAAGGTATTGATAAGGAATTCAGAATTTAATAGTCAGATAAATTTTGAATTCAAATGTTAACAAAAATCAAAAACTTTAAACTTAGAACAATAAAATTGAAATAAACATCGTAAAACACAACATTTACTTGTTCAGTTACATCATACACGATCCTTGCCACTTTTTTGAAGCATATTAAACATGAATTTTCAATAGATATGCTGATTGTTCATACATGTAAGCAAAATTTCTTTGTGAAGTGGAGAAAAATTTCAAGCTTTATTCACAAGAATTTTTAAATGATAAAACAGTCAACAAAGTTCTCGAAGAGATACCTTTTATACTTAAATGAACAATAGAACTTCCAAGAAGAGATTCATGTACTTTTCTCCTTCCAACCTGACAGCAAAACAACAATTGCGAATCAAAATCACTCTCATTATTCTCATTGAAATTTCTCTCAAATACATTATTTGTATAGTTTAGCTTTCTCATTCCAATTTGATTAAACATAATGAGAATCTATTAAGCAGATTGATGTGAAGATGATTCGATGAGAATCTCGATTCCATGCTTAACGTACATACGGTATTGTGCATTTGAGTAATTTTCTCTTAAGGAGAATTTGTGGGAATTTAAGAGCAATGAGAACTGACTTGATTGAAAAATGTTATGTCTAATTCTTAACCTCAAAAAGTCAGAATCAGTACCAAGTATCAATTCGATAGCTCCCACAAGGGGCGATTAGCAAATCAAAAATAAATAATCCAAATTATTTTATCTCATCCATTCAGAGTTCACGATATATCCCGCTCAGGCTTCGGTGATTGGCCGTTCATGACTGTTCATCAGTGGGGTGAGGCGCCACATGGTACCTGGGAGCTGGAAATTCACAATAAAGGACGTTATATGGGTAAGTGGCTGACGATGATAACAATTGATTTATCCTCAATCAATTCAAGTTACTGACATTTTTGTTTGCCGTTTGACATAACCGTTGATGGTGATGGACATACTAACATAAGATTTCTTTTACCTTCTTTTTCTCTCTCTGGGATTCTTTCTCTGTTTCTGTATTTTGTATTTTTCTTATTCTACAATATATTCTCATGCTACCATTACGTAATCGTGATTTATATAATATGGAATGAATCTATTGGGATTAACCTCACAGAATTTGCACTGCTACGTTATTGGACGTTAGTTTTATATGGAACTGCCATATCAGCACAAAGAGGTGATGACGAAGTGAGTCAGTCATCAAGTAATTCTCAATTACTTAACAGTAACACTAGTTTGAATAATAGCAATAACAGCAGCACAAATTACCGATCAAAACCGCAAAATAATAATAGTAATAATAATAACAATTCCGGATCAACCGCAAACCGCAAGACATCGTCACAACAGAAATCGTCAACATTGAGTCCACAAGCAACGACCATTACACGTAAGAATGGAAAGCAAAAGAATAGTAATAAGAATGGAAAAAGTAATCAGAAAATAACATCATCGACGACGACGACAACAGTTCGACCATTGTACACAACAGTTATGCTTAATCAGTTCAGCATCAGTACACAGATGGGAAAGAACAAGACGAAAGTTAATCAGAATGCAAGCACAATTGTTCCACGTCCACGCCCAACAGCAAAGCTTCCGAATACGAAAAGCAATTCAAATGCAAATAACAATAATAATAACAATAACAATAACTTACTGAGCTCATCAAAGTTGGATAAATATCAGCCGTCTTATTCAAATATTTATGAGAAGTCGTCCGGTAAAGGACCAAAGCAAGTAAAAGAGAATTCTTATACGACACCGAGATTATCGGAAGGACCCACACAAAATCCATCAATGTCGAGGATGTTTGAGCAATATGAAAAGATTGAGGAGATATTTCCCGAATTTGAGCCATACAAAGAGGTTAATCCCGTCTTTTTCACCGTCAGCAATGGAAAGCCGTCCCGAGAAAATTCAAAATCCTTTAGTAGCTTTGTCTCATTTGACTCAGTGCCACAAAAGAAAAATACACCAATCGATGATCCTTCAGAGACGCGTCAGAAAATCATTTCATCTCCGGCGTCGTCAACACAAGGAGCGAGTAATGGAAAGGGTACAATCTTCTAATTCCAACCAATGTTCTACTTCTTGTTCCTTTATCGCTTTTATTATTTCGTTAAACAATAAAAAAAATCTTCATTTTTTTCTCTTCGATTATTAAACAAATTCATTTTCTTTTCCTTTTATTACACTTCTTTTGGTTTGTTTGCTATTCCTAAAATTGATGGTGATGTAGTGCTTAGAACAACCTTCAATTATTATTGTTATCGTTATTGCTGTTTTTCTCTTCTATTCTTTTAAACGTGTTTATCATCATAAGTTGAATTTATTCTTTTGTTATTACTTTCTTTAAAACAAATTTTCATTCTTTATCAACGCGTCTGATTGTCTATATGTCTTCTTATCAGTTTGCTTCTTCAGATTTTAATGTTATCTGATTTTATTATTGCTTCATTTTTTTATGAAATTCAAATATTTTGCTTTGTTTGTTTTGAATTTAGATTTTGAGATTTACGTTGCTGCAGCTGAATTTTAACTGAGCAGATTGGCAAAGTAAAGATTTTCTGGGATTAAATGGAACCTTGAAAAAGGTTCAAATCCTAAAAATTGAGTAAAGTAGTTTTCCAGCAAGATATAAAAGTCAAAAAACCTTTTAGTTCAGTAATTTTAAGCTTAAACTTTATAAAGCTTAGCTTTATGCGTTTATGAAATATTAAACTTTAAAGCTATACTGACTAAGAATTTATATCCATTTGACTTATATTTTAAACTTATAGCCTAGTCAAATGTCTCTAGACTAGCAGAACCTAAGCTAGACTAAATTAACCAGCATTTCAGAGCTTCCCTAGTAGCTTTTTGGTATACAATTAGTTCCAACAATAATCAAGGTCGCACTTCATCTAGCTCATCGAATTGCTGGAGCTCTGTCATATTATTACAAGCTTCTACTAAAATATTTGCTCAAGAAGCTAATTAATGAAGTATATTTTCAAATATGAAGCATAAAAGCCCTCATTCCACAGACAATAACACTTAGTAAAGCTTACAAAAAATATTATGAACAAAAAAGTACCAAATGAGCCCTTCAGCATAATAAAATCGATCTATAACAGCCAATTTCCCTCAAACTTGCGCTCCTCCAACCCTTCAATAGCAGCACTTTAGCTTCTTATGATGTTCTTAGAAAAAAAAAACAATGAGAAAATTTCCTTCCGTTTTCATCATCATTTTATTGTTTTTAAATATTAAACACTGGAAATATGTACAAAGATTGAGACGATGAACGTTCGAATGAAGAAACTTTCAGAGCATTTACGTGCTCGTTTGTATCATGAATACAATTCAGAATTTTCAATTACACGCCACGCTTTTTATAAGCGAATATCGTTTAAAATTCTATGACTTTTATGTGCTTTGAGTTATATTAAATTTGATGTCTTGTTAAAAGCAAAAGACAGCGTTTATTCAACATTTATGTGCTGACATTTAAATGGAAGATTTTTTTCGGGCAAAAGTTTCTTGAAAATTAATTTATTTTCGAGGAGGGGAAGCATGTTGAAAGTTTTGATTTCTTTCTAAGGTTTATTGGGTTTTGTGGGAGGAGCTAAGTGCTACTTAACCTAGTTTGTGGTGAAATAGATTAGTATCTTGGTTATTAACTGATGTAACGCTGATACAGAAGTCTTAGGTTCGAAACTCAACGTGGAAAATATTCTCATAGAGCTTTTTTGAATCATATGTACAGAAAATGAAGTTAAAAGCTCTCATTTATGGATTCACAAATGCTATGGTATACAGCACCTAGTCAAAGTGTCGATAGTAAGCAAAATCTAACACACAATACATCAAGATGATCCCCAAACCTTTATTAATGTTTTTTTGTTTATCTGCTCAGATTCTCGCCTTTTTATTATTGCTTATAAATTCCATATTTCATCAAAAATTTAAAAAGGTATACGTGATTGTTGCCATGACTAAGTTCTTTCACAAAGGCTCAAAAACATATATTAAATTTCATTTCTCCATTTAGTTTTTAATCCACCTCAGAAAATGTAAATAACATGTGATTGTATGATATTTCCATAGAAATTACCTAAAACTTCCCAAATAAAGTTTGATTCTTATTGCTTCCGGACTAAAGTTTTCATGGTGAATACTAAACAATCATCAACAACGAGTAAATTATGTTTTGGAAGTTTTTTTTTTGTTGTGTGCCTCGTCCGAAGCTATTCAAGTTTTTCAAAAGTTAGACACTTCCTTGTCCTTAAAATGTTGTTTCTACAGCTTCACAATGTAGGTCGATTACGTTTATATGGAAAATTTATTTTTTATGCCACCCACGAGATCGTCCACAATGGCTCTTCAAAAACATTTGTAATCTGTCCAAATTAATAATTAATAACTTAATGAGGTGGATGAACACAATTATTCAGCATAAATATTAGCAAACTTGTAGGTGATATAATCTTTTAATATTCACTGAATAATTAAAACATCCTACAGTCATTGAGAATCCAAAGCATAATTTTCAATTCATTACAGATGATTCTTGTAAATAATTAGAGCATAGACATGAAATGGTCCATAAATAATTTGTAAATTCCTATTGATTTAATAGGGATGTGATTATTAGCATATTGCTATTATACAGAATTTATGGGAGTCATTTTACAGAGGTTAATTAAAATGCTGTTGAAGTAGGAGCAATAAATTCTGAATGGATTAATATACAGTGACTTTGAATTGTTGCTAGGAGAAGAATTATAGGATTTTGGCCTAGATTATCACATTGTTTCTAGCTTTTAAGTAAATTCTATCTTTTCTATGGAAGATCCAACTGTGAATAAATGTTTTTGTGGCTAAAACAAACTTAAACAATCGATGCTTCCCGGAAGTTCTCTGTCCCTGCCTTTAAATTTCCCTATCTCTCTTTTTCATCTCTTTAAAAAAATAAAAGCGAGCCTTACATCAAAAATGCTGAAAACAATTCAAAAAGCCTCAAAGAAAACCAACAAAAAACAAACTTTTTCATCCAATTTTTTATTGAGCTTTTCTGACCATTCCCTCATTTTTCAATGCCATTTTCCTATCAACTTTCTGTATGTACATTTATTTTGGTCAAAAAAAGACCATTACAGTATGCAAAGAATGTTTATGACTAAGAAGAGAAGATGGATATTCATAATTTGAAGAAAATTGCTGACATAAAATATTGAAATCAACCTTTTTTCAATTCCTTTTTATTTTCAAGGAAAAAAATAACTTTCCATCTCATATTAAGGGGGTTATTTTGGATGTTATGTGACGTTAAATTAATCTTTTTGTAGTATTTTCTAGTTCGCAGTTGAGTATATTCTAGATTTTAGTAATCAGTGTTTGATTCCATAAGAATACTGATGCCATAATTTAAATAAATCAACCCTTGACCTTCGCCTTTAGTTTTTAATGCTTTCTGAGCCCCTCTTTTAAGGATAATCATTGTCTATAACTGCTATGGACTACATTAAGACCTTGTCAGTATTATTTTAAGTATTAATGCCTCGAAAAAGGAAAAGGTGAATTTCTCGAATATCGAACCCAGGATTGCTAGGTTGTCTACAGTTCTGAAGTCCCCAATTACTAGTCTAATACGCTACCGAGCCTCTCAGCTCATCAATCTCATTTTAGCCACACGTCATACCCCATCGACCCCACAATTTTTATATTCTTATGAATGCTCTTACACATACAATACATTTAAGATGATATTCTCTTTTCATTTGCTTCTCATAAAGCATTCATATCCATGCATACATAAATATGTGGATGGATATGGATTGAGATGGATGGACGGATGATGATGATAATTCATTCAAGTTATTTTCCTTCATTTACAATTTTTATCCTCATTGTATTGTATCATCATCTATAGCAATGAAGGAAAGGAAAGTAACCTTTTGACTCGCATCATTCAAAAGTGAAAGGAATAATGTCCTTTTTGCCACAAGAAAAATTGAAGCATGAAGAATAAAAAGAGGCAAAAAAAAGATTAAAAGCAGATTTTTCATTTGTCCGCACATGAATAAGAAGGCATAAAAGGGATTTTTCCTTGCTGCCATTTTTATGGGCTCTAACTCATGTGTGTAGGCAGCTCCTCAAGGGTGCAATTTATTCTTTGTTCTACTAAAACTATCTTGATTCCTTTCCCGGGATGCCCTTTTATCATTTACGAAGCAAGTTTTTATGTTTTCATCTTCCAAAAAAAATAAAATTATGCTTTCTTGCTGTATAGACTTAGCTTTTCAAGCTTCTTCATCGTCTTTTTGAATTGTTTTTGATATATGGCATTTGTATGGTATGCTTCGGGTAAATAAATAAATATAATTTCCTAGACAAATGGATTTGCTCATTCCTTCTCTTTTTCTCCATCCACAACTATGTTTCTCCCATGTCATTATGTCTTTTATCATCGTTATCATACATTTTATTATCTTTTCTATCTTCATTTATTTGCCATGGATATGCTTCGTTCTGTCGTTTGCCTTCTTCCTTTTTTTGTGTTTGCCAAACAATATCTGGCATATATTCATAATTCAATAAATACAATAGACGCACAGAAGATATATTTGATGAAATTCGCGACGGGTTATATATGATGCGTTGATTTTGAACGGATTTCATTGCAAAATGTTGGCGATTTTGAGTTCATTTTGTTTATTGCTTTCTGTCGAAATGATTTATAAGCTTCAGGGCATTTATTTTTGATGCTTGCCATTTTTGTGGAGCCAAATCAACGAGAATTTTCGAGAATTTCTGTATCTGTCAAGATTAAATCGAGAAAAACTTTTTGAAGTGGAGCAAAGGGCCTGCAACTGTGTAGTTTTTTTTGAAATTTTCAAAACCGGTGAATTTAAAAAAAAATTAAAATTCGTTTAAAATGCAGAAGTTTATAAATATATTATCAGATGCGTCTACTACTGTGCCGCAAAACTACTCATAGTCTCGCCTGTTATTCAATTAGAGTAAAAGCTCCTCTCTTCTTCCACTTCCTCTCATTCATTTTATTGTTGTAATGATAAAAATGACAAAAGCTCGAATACTAAAAGATAATTGATGACATTTTTCGCTGTTGATTTCTCTCATTTCCTTGGCTCAGCATAAAAATGGAAATGAGTAGTAAGGAATGGAATCATGCAGATAGGAAATCAACAACAGAGGAAAAGAGAAAATAAAAGAATATTTATGACTATCTGTTATGGATTTTAATTGCTTGCTCTCTCTCTAGCCTTCATCTCGTCTCCCTATCCTCTTTGGTGCCTTTTTTTTTATTTATTTATATTTTAATTTTATTTGCCTTCATTCGTTTTGTGATTTATGTGACTAATTTTATAATACATATAAGCTTTATTTTTTTATCATTTAACAGCTAGACTAGCATGATATTTGTAGAATTAAGCCATTATTTACAGATAAAGAAATTTATTTATCCTTCCAGTTCCTCTCTCACACCCTAATTTTATCTCTGTCCCAAACGATAGACACATAAAGTGTGGGTAGCTTAGAGAGAGAGACATAATTTCATCTCTAACGACGAAAATTTTCTATATTTTCTCTTTCTTTTGTTCTTTTTTCTCGCTGTCATTTTCAGGTCAAATAACACAATGGAATCTAATATTTTATGGGACAAGTGACCCACCCCAAAGGAATGATCCACCTCGTTATCCAAGTGGCAATAATAAGAAGACTGTCAATGATTTCATTCACAATTCATTGGAAAATTCACAATGGGGCTTTATAACGCAAGATGTAAGGACAATAAATATTATTCTTTCCTCTTTATTTTGTCTACTTTATCAAATAGATTATTATTAAATTGCTGAGCTTTTAAAATTATTTATTGAACGGTTTATGGTTGTAATGAGGTTTGCGATACAGGCACCTGTGCACAGGTGAAATCCGTACAATTCCTTGATAATTTGAGAGGTTTTATTAGAATTAGGATAGTTTTGTTAGAAAAACCTTATAAATGTGAGTTTTATGAAGGATTTTTGATAAGTTGAGTTTAGAGCTTATGAAAATGATGTTCAGGGATTCTTAGATTGTCATTAGGGCTACACTTAGTATGGATAGGTTTCATGATTCAGTATATCTTCATGCTAGGCATGTACAAGGGATTCTCAACTTGAATGGATTCATTTTGAATTTTTAATATAAATAAATATTAATTCAAGACATTATCTCAAATTAAATATCCCCTCAATCCAAAAAGTAAGCATTTATTAATATCATTATCCCTAATTGCTGTTAAAAGAAAAACTTTTGCGGCCTGTTTCACTAAAGTGGATTTTCTTCGATTTCGGATTATCCTTTTCAGTTTTTTGCAAATATCTTAAACTATATGGGAGGTGTGGTATTTCTAATTTTGGATTATAATAGAGTGAACTATGCCTGAAATTTCTGTACACTTTAAACGTTTGCTTTTCATTAAGAAGTATTAATTATTCAATTTTCTAGCCAAATCTAGTAGATTAACTTCGATTTTTGCTATAATTCTCAAACTAATGAAGATATAAAAATTCTAAGTATATATTAATTTAAGTAGCAAAGTACTCTAACTAGATCACACATTAGATCTCTTAAAAGTCTTAATTGTCTGGAGATATTTCCAAAAAACTGAAGTGGATAATTCGAAATCGAGGATAATCCACTTTAGTGAAACAGGCCGTTGAAGCTTCAGGGAAAAAACACTTAGTAAGTTCCAAAGGGAAAAATGCTACAAAAAAAGTTTTGTTGATAAAGTTGACAGTTTTCCTCAACAAAACTTAAAGTTTAATTTCTTTTGCGGATAAAAGAACTCCTTCAAATTAAGTTTAACTATCAATTTCTGTCCCTCCTGTTCAGTTCATAAAAGCTCATCAAAAGCTCACAAAAATATGATTTATATGCAAGAAGATTAATCACAATCCTTCATGTCAAGTGCTAAAGCCTGACGACTCTTAAATACCGAACAATACTTGAGACATCATATAGCACAGCTGAGAGGTGGATAACCGTTTCTAATCAATTGTTTTCTCTCTCTTTTTTATTGCATTTCCTCACCTCATGCCTGCACATATTCTCGTGTGATTTATACGCCCCGAAAAAAACTACAACAACAACACATCACATCACTCGGACAGGTTGCAGAAATGGGATCTCACTCAGATGTTCAACGAACTGTTGATGATGACTTAACCAGTTCCGCATGCTTACATTATTCCGATAACAATAAAAGCTTTTGTTTAGGTTTGTGTTTATTTATTATCACTTTAATTAACATTTTAAGAAGCCAAATGAGATAATTTTGAAGCAAAAAAAGATATTAAAGAACAGAACAAAAAATGATGAAAAAAATGATAAGAATAAGAAGAAAGAAGAAAATTAAGTTATTTGAAAAAAAAAGAATGAAATGAGAGCGATGACAATTGCCTAAAAAGGAAGCACAAAGAAAATGAGAAATATTAAAAATTATTTAAAGCGATGTTCACAAAATTGTCATACAATATGGAATGACATTATCCAGATTTTTGTTGCTGCTGCTTTATAAGGACATTAAAGAGAAGAGAAATGCTCGTTCCTTTTTATCATGCGACGTTTAACAAAGATTTATGAATGTCATTAATTCTACATAATAATTTTCCCTGTGTCTGCACATTTTTCTTTTTCGTGTGTCTCATCTTTTTTAATTTTAAAATGAAATCCTAAATGAAATGTGAAATGGAATGAAAATTATAATATAGAGACATTAAAAGTCATGGGAAGCACCTCTTGATTCTATTTGTGAAAACGCTTCTTTTGATTTAATCAGGAATGCAGGGATGTAGTCTAGGCATCTACCCGTATCTGGGGTTAAAGTTAAAATTTTTAACCAAAAGCGATTTTCAATAGTACAGATCTATGCCAGTTCCATGTTAACCACCGAAGATACTCAAATTTTAAGATTTAGTACAAATAACCAAACTTTCCAGTAATCGCTAGTGGGAATCGAATCCACATCTTAAGATTCATAAATGCATGCTCTAACCTTCTGAGCTATTGAAGGTTACTCAAAAGATTGGCAGAATTTCAGCTTAAACCAAAGCTGTTTTGAGACAAAACTGTATGAATTTCTCGTCATGTTGTTTCCCCCTTTGATTTAAACTCTTAAGCTGGCCTTAAATTCAAATAATTTCACTTTAAAACTTTCATTTTACATCCACCTATCCACACCCCTTTTTCAGATGTGTCGAAATGATATAACATAAGTGAAGTTACTCATTTGAGCATTGAAAGCTCCTTTCTCTATAAATTTACATCTTTTTCACAGTTCAAAATGAGCTTTTTTTGAGCGATGTCGCAAATTTGCATATAATTTACTTCTTTTTTATGATGGAAATTTTTCTTTGCTCGCTTAAAGGCATCATGCCAAGCTTGAGAGAGCAACAAAAATAAAATATGAGAAAGTTTCAGTTTTTTATTTCAATATTTTTATTTCATAAATTAAATGAGCTTTTAACTGCTCTGACATATTAAAGAATAAAAGTTTTAAATAGTCTGAGAGTAATAAAAATGCAAAAATTTTATGATAATTTATTGCGGACAGCAGAAGCAAAAGTTATTCTCTCATTTTTTTCATGGCTCCCTTTCGCGTACTGATTTTAATAAATAGGAAGAATAGACAGTAAATTATTGAAAATGCGATAACAAAAATATATATAAAAGAATGTGTTCAATATTGCGGCTATAGAAAGCTCATGTTGTGTGTTTATGCGAACTGCAATAATTGAGTGGATTTGTTTGAAGCAACTTTTTTCGGTGAATTTTGAGCTAAGTTTTGGTTCTTTTTGACTCTTGCCGTCTTATAGATTCAAATTTAATTCAAAATATATTAGTTTTGAAGTGAGAGTGCGTTCAGAAAAAAATGTTGAATTTTTTCATCAAAAAAGAAAATAAGTTCGAAGGATGATTCTTGCCACTTTTTTGAATCTAAATTCTCAAAAACAAAGTCTAAATTCACAGTAAAAGCTTAGAAAAAGAACTTTCAAATTTCGAAGTGAGGGTGCGTTCAAAAATTTTTTTCTTCAAATTTTAATAAACCGTTAGAAGTTCAAAATTTTTGTGAAATTAAATATTCTTTGTTTTAGACCAAAATAAGCTCTTTATTCATCAGTAAACAAAATAATTTCCAAACTCTACATTTTCTGCCAATTTCAATCCACAAATTTTATTATATTGCAGTCGACATGAATGCACAATTTAAATGATAAACTATAGTAGATTTATATGAGAAGAAAAAACCATTTTTCGAGTTAATTTTGCGGCTTTTGAATTTAAATATCGACACATACACACAAAATCCATTCATAATAAATGAAAATCTGCTGTAGTCTTCTCGCAACTCAAATGGCACAATAATTTTCATTTTTAATGTTCATATTGCGCGTTTATCACATATTATAGCAATTTGTGCCAAAAAAGACTATAATTAACCATGAAAAGAATGGAAAATTGGTAAAAGTTTTTATAAACTTTACAAAGTTGAATCCTCGCACGTGAATCAATTGATCTATAATAATGAGAGGCTATAAAACCACAAATTAATTTTGCACATTTACTTAACACACATTAGACACACACAGAACATAAAAAACACTCATTCATGGGTATTAAATGAGGATATTTTATATGAAAGTGCAATTAATATTTCAAAAAAAAACTAAATAAGCGGAAATAACCACTCACGAGTATAAAAGTAAATAATGATAAATCAAATTTACATGATGATTATGCAGAATAACATAATTAAAGCACATTTTACCTGTTACATCCTCGCGTAATTCGCAATTTTGTAACTGAGTAAAGTTGCGCACTTTTTATGAGAAAAAAAAAATGATGAAATTTTATGAAGTGAAATGAGAAAGCGACAAAAAGGAAAATTTATAGAGTCACTTCTCTTACCTTCTGTCCCGAAGGATTTCCTTCTCCATACCGAGAAAATATCTTCTTAATCATCTCCAATGGAGATGCCTCACTTAATTCAAAATTTCATTATCATCATCCATTTTTTGCTTCGTTCATGACACTTTCGCACGAATTTAAAGAACAAGAAAGATTTTTAACATGAAAACTTTATTCAATTAAATATTAAATATCCGTCTTGATTACATTTTAATTGAGTAATGGAATTTTGTCTCATGCGATATAGTTTGATGTTAGGATTATTTAATTTTCATTCAATTTGTATGATATGGGAGATTATTGAGGAAGCCGTAGTGTCCATTGAGTTACTAACAATTTAAAAATATTTTATTGCCTAGCTTGAATAAGTTTTTGTTCCTGATTTGTGATACTTTTGTTATTTTCTTCAAAGATACCAAATAAGTTTAAAATTTTGAAATTTAATGGAAGGTTGACGAATTTGATCACGATTTAGAAAGGTTAGGGGCTGAAGGATCTGTAAGAGCCACCCTTGACGGGTCCTTTCGCTAGACAGCTTTCCCTTATTAAAAGTTAAAATCTGCCAGAGCTAGAGCAAGACTTGAGCAAGACCTCTGTCGCTCAATGGCTAAAGAACAGACCCTAAATATATATCATTCATGTGTGATGACGTGGGTTCGATTCCCATCAGAAAGCAGCTTCTCAATTATTAAAAAGAATAATTCTGATCAAAGAAAATATCAATTTCCCAATAAAATTTCGAAAATATTCATTTCAAAGATATTCTTAGAAGAAAAATCGATTAAATGCTGCTATTGATTGAAATCTTAAAGTTCCTAAAGATATATTGTTCCTAGAAGTTTACAAGACATAAAATAAATTATTTTCTTTAAAAACTGCCAAAATTGTTCATTTGCTGCTGCCAAAAACAGAATTTTTTAATGATCTCAGAATAATTTTCAAGAATCAAACCTTAAAACAAACTTATAAGGATCCAAACCTGAAGTCTAGAAGCATTTTGTATCCCAAATGACTATGACCATGAAAAATCATCCATTAGTGATTTAATAGCTATGATTTCATTCCTAATTCGACTAATTTTGTAAACACACTTATTATCCAGCATTACTAGCTACCTTATCAAGAATTTCAAAAGCAAAAATGCGCTGAAGTCATTCACGTTGAATGAAAATCAATAATTTTCTAATTAGAGCGAAATTCCTTTACTCATTAATACAGTCGATTCTAAGCTTTCATTGAATTTTTAATTGTTCTCAATTTCTAAGATAATAATATAAGTTTTGTGCTATCTCTATCATCTGATAATTATGTTCTTGCTACATTTCGTGATTCTCTGTTATCAATATTGAATAGAAAATGATTTTTTAATTGCAAAAACTCATTCGATTATGAAAATTAAATTGCAAAAAAAATCTGACTTTAACATGAAAATCGTGAAATGATTTGCCGCATGTGGATTATTATTTTTATGGTTTTAGAGGTTGTCCTGAAAAATTCATTATCTCATTTTTCATATCATTGCCGTGTAAAATATTAAAAATTTCGTACACGTCTGCAATTGTTTTTATTGTGCGAGACATATAAATAAAAAATTAATAAATATGTTAATTATTTCCCCAACATATCACTGATATAAATTTGTTGACAATAGAAAATGACGATAGTTTCATTAAAAATTATTATTGGGACGATTTAAGTAGCAGAGTTGGAAGATTATTCATGCTTTATGGCAGGTTAATAAACTGCATCTGTTTTAGAAAAAAACGGTAAAAATAATTTTGAATTTTGTATATCAAAAATAAACATTCAAAAAATATTTGAAAATTAACGGCCTAAAATGTTTCAAATTTGATAAGAAGTTAAAAAAAACTGCCACAAATTCAAAAAGTGACCGTTACAAGTTCAATTCTAGCAATCAGCAACTCCAACTCTACCAACAGATTATAAATTTCACAAACAACTTTATTGCGGGACAGTTTTGATTTCACAAAAAATAAACAAACTCATCATAAAACAGAATTTAAAAAAAAATCCATCACCGCTGTTATTTTTGGTGACACGTTCGGCACTAAAAGCAGCCACAATTAAACAAAAATTATGTTTCCTGAATTAACGTCCCGCGTCTGTATTTACTGATAATCAGAAACATAAATACAAATGAAATAATTAGTAACTGTGAATCATAATCAAATAAATCAATTAAGTTAGTGCTCATTTCTATACTTTCGTCATGGCAAAAATCAAAGCTTATTTTTTTTTAATATTTCATTTCACAACAAAAATCAAATTTCGCCACACTTCTTAATGAC